CGTGACACCGTCTTCGCTGTTATGGCAAGCCACAGCGATGTCGGAAGGAACTCGAGCATTGGCCTCCTCCCAAGACAAACCTTAAATTTAACAAAATATATAATTTTAAAAAAACAAAACCATAAATACGACATATCGATCTGTGTGTACTGAAATATACATCATGAACTAAATGCATTAAAAATCAGCACAATATTCGAAAACTTCAAAATGAAATTTTTCAAAATTCACAAAATAAATATGTGCTGTCTATTTTTTAAAATAAAATTAGAAAATATTAATAAATAATTTAAAAATACTCATAATAAAATGTTGTCAATATTACGTTTGTTGCTATTCAATATTGTTTATATTATTTTTTTGGTCAAAGGCTGTAGGTACCTACACGTATTACGTAATATTTTTTATCTGAAACTATTGTCGACAAGTGCTGTAATTTAAGAACAATTTAACTCCAGAATTAAAGTTAAATTCTTACTAGAATCAAAAAAATATCCAGATACTAATAATAATCATAATCATGATACAACAAATTATAAAAAATAAAATAATTTTTTTTTGCTTCCATAATTTAGCAGTACTCTAAAACGAATATCAACCAAACTCAATTTCTTTATTCATGTACCTAACAAAAGAGGAACATACAAACACGTTAAAATCACAGTCCTGCACTCCTGCTATAGTGACATACTTACATGGGCGTATTATTTGAAGCTTGAAAGTATAATATTATTGACAATTTAGTCTGTTAACACTATATACCTACATAATTATTGTAATTAAAAATGTTACAGTTTGAAGAACATTGTTTTCAAACAAAATTAGAAAACTTCTCAATTAAGTTATGACATACCGACTGCTGCCATTGCGCCCGGGGGCAAGTTCAGGTCTAGAAGACTACGGCCTCTCCAGTAGGCGACAATAATGGTCTGTTCGGCCGTCAATGTTCCGTCGGCATATGCGCAAGCCAATTCTCCGACCGAGTGCCCCACGATTCCATCGGGCTTGATATCGACAGCAGTTAGCACATCTACCAAAGCTATCTGTTAAACGAAAAAAATAATCGATCGTAATTATAAAAAAATCTTCCCTTCCGGGAGACAATGGTTGGGTCCAAAAAACTAAGTCCAATCGTCATTTCGTCCAATAGTAATTTTCGTTCAACGGAATATTTCGTCCGACATTTGTTTAGTACCTACGATAATTGATTTTATCCATTCGGCTATAGGCTATTTAGCTCCTGTTTTTCTCAAAGGGCTTCCGTTTTTGCCAAAACAAATTCCTTCCCACCTCATACATACTTAGAACTGTCTCAAAAGAGGTGTGGTTAAAAATGTGAGTGTTTTTTTTTAATTATAAAAATTGTCGTTAAAGAAAAATCCATACGTCTGCCTATCTGCCTATTATAAATCACAAATTTAAAATTGGTTCGTGTTTTTTAAATTTTATATGTACTATGTAATTTATAAAGTATTTTTTTCGTTGAATACTGGAGACGTTTAGGGATTTACGTATTCGTGAAGCCTTTTTCAACAAGAACCAACAAACAATAGATTGGAGCAATATGAAAAGCACTGATTCAATCAAAATGTACTAAATAATTAAGTCCATTTGTTTTATATTTACCTTGTACATTATATTAATCGCGGAAGCACGATGTTCGGAGTGGGACTAACTTTTCTGTATTAGTAATTTTATGATGAGTTTTAAAAGTGTTTTGATTGAAATACTTAAAAAAACAATAATATTTTTAAACAAAATTGTTTTTATCTTCATGTGGGTTGCTCTGCATTTTAATTGGTAAGAATACTCTCAAATAAATTAAGATTCGTTATTTTCTTTAGGTTAATAATATAATGTTCAAGTTATCTGTATTGTGATGTATAATATATTTATATGGCGATGAAGGTCTAATGAGAATTTAAAATAGATCCTTGATCTAAATGCACTTTGTACATAAGTGCATAGAGATTCGGACAAAAGTTTTTGGACGATACTGCAGTTGAACCTATAACATTGGACCTAACATCCAGAAACCTCAGTACCTGTATGGCAGCGATCCCGACGAACGAATTCAATACGTTGTCGAAGACCGTCTTGTCGTTTGATTCAAAAATGGCGTAGAGGTCCAACCCGAGATTTTTCAGCGTATTGGCGGTCTTATCGATCGATGTACGGAACGGCGGCAGAGCCAACAGGTCGCGGCCCATACCAGTCCATTGACTTCCCATTCCAGAGAAGACGTACCACACTTGACGTTTGCCTACACCAACAGTCTGGTGACAGAATCGATAGGTTTTTTTTTAAATTGTTATTTATACATAACACGTATAGCACCCAACAACATTAGTTGTCTATAGTATCAAAATAATAATGATAATAATAATAATGTTCTCACCACTGCTTCGCGGGCGTTTGTCTCGCCGATAATGCTATACCCCCTGAAAATGTGACCCGGAATGTTTTGACTCTGAACTCCGTACAATAGACCGTAATACTCAGGATCTCTAGGCATGCCTTCGATCTATGATGAGGAAGATTAATTCAATCATAAATGGATAAATGTAACAAAGAAAAAAAATATCGATTTATCTTCGGGACTTGTAGCACTAAATAACGTTCAAATATGAAATTACATAATATTCTCACAAAAATTATATTATATTATATTATGATATTATACTTTCATCGGTATCCTCTTCTTAGAAAAAAAAAAAATAATGGCAAACAATTTACTCAAAGTTATGTTCGAAAATATTTTGAAAAATATTACAAGTCTATATTTGAGGCTGGGATTGAGGTAATCTTATTTAATAAGTCTAAAAACATTTAATTTTTAATTTTTTTACAAATTAACCATTGATAGCATAATGGGTTAATATTATGTGTACAATATCGTAAAATACAAGCACATTTTGAAGCTGCATCATGTAGCTGAAAAAATTATATGTTCAATACGCTAAAGCCCCTAACGAATTTGCAAAATGATTTTCCTTATGATCTGTGAACAGGGATATGTACCGCAATCGCCACAAGTCCCCAGCCTCGAGTTATAATATATCTGCACGGAATGCTCACCCTGTCCAACATGTAATTGATCGCACTTTCGGTTCTCGCAGACCCGATCACTAGCCGGGGAATGGCGTCCTCAGGCTGTGGCCGTTTTGGCTTCTCGTTGGCTTTCAGCAGGGCGTGGGCATTATGACCACCGATACCCACCGCGTTCACAGCTGCATACCGCCCGTTCCACGACAAAGATTTGTTGACAACAAGCAGCCGACCATCTTTCAGGGCCGGAACTCGGGGGTTAGGGGAATTGTAGTGGAGCGTAGGCGGTATTTCCTGACGTTCCATGGCCAACACGGTTTTGACGACGCCACAAAGTCCTGAAGCCGGTTCGCCATCGCCCATGTTCGATTTCACGGATCCGATCAACAATGGTTTGGTGCGGTCCTTGCAGTACACTTCGGTGACGGCGTTCAGTTCTTGGGCGTCACCCAACTAAAATGTTGACAAAAATAAAATTTGCGTCTAAATAATGTCACTACCCATCGGTGATGACAGCATTTGGCAGTCCTGTTTTAAAACAAGTGCAGTTTCTGTTCCAATCAGATTTGCCACTATCGATACACACATTTTGATACTATTAAAATCATCGACATACGCGTCACACAGACACCGCGTTTAAACCAAATTTACAAATATCTAATGTATAACTCGAATCAGTACAATTTTTTTGGGAGCAAGGTGGAGTAAAATCCCTATTCTTAAATACCAAATGTAAAGAATATTCGGTATGTATAGTAGGTACGCGTATTAAAACAAGTTGAGTTAAGAAGTAGGTAATGAAATTACTTTACTTGTTACTCAAATAAAACTGTACAAAAATTACTTTGCTTATCAAAAAAATAACTACGTTGCAAATAAAAAAGATCAGTTAACAAGTATTCCTCAAATACGAGACGTATTCACGGGTAAAGCATAATATTATTAAAGTTAACTATCCAACGTAATTTCTGTTACGTTTTCGTTACCTACATGGACAAAATTCTAACGTATTTACGTAATGCAGTACTAACAAAGTAACGTTGTTACATTAACGTGTCATCCTTTCGTTACATTAGTAAGTACCTGGTCACCGCAGGCGCTGCTCTCGATGTAGTCAACATCGGCTGGACTGATTTTAGCGATGTCCAAGACCTCTCGAAACAGTTCGATCTGCTGCACGTTGGTCGGGTAAATGGCTCCTTCTAAACGGAAACCTTCGGTGTTGGTGCGCGCGTTCACTGCGGTGGCGTACACCCGTTTGGCGTTTTTGGCACGCTGCATGTACACTATGACGACGGCGTCGCTGCGGGCGGTCCCTTGGCCTAAAACATTCCGATCATCGTATCAATATATTATTGTTATTATGTCTCAGGCTTGGGCAGGAGCTAATGAAATTTGAAATATTCTATCGACAATTTGAAATCCGCTATTACAATTAATACTATTTTCCATGCGACGCCATTGATATTATAATGGTCAGTGAAATGTGCAATAAATAATAGTACATAAGTTCCAAAAGCAATTTTCTTCTAATAATTATATTTATACTTCAATAGTTTTTTTTTTTAGATGTCGAAACATTATTATATTTTCTATGTTGTAGCAATAATTGTAAAATATATTCGTTTTAAAAATGTGATTTTCCAGACATCGTGGAAGAAAAATCTTATCGGTATTAACCCTATCCGTTACCCCAAGCCTCCGAGCCCCGGTATTTATTTTTCACAAGCGTCAAGTATATTTGTCGTGAACCGGTTTTTAAGCAAACAACGATAACACAACAACCGCAAAATTCAGTTACGTTACCGGAGGCGGTCAAAAGGCCTGCTCTTTCCGGTCCGGGGATACAGCTGATTCAGCTTCTTGCAACATGGACCGAAAGTCACGGATTAAGCAGCAACGAACACCCGGCTAACCACTACGGCATCCACCACATCTGTTTTTGAAGCATTCTATAACGCGTGTTCAAAAGCCATCAGACTACCTGAAGACCCGGAATCGACGGCATAGCTGGGTCCTGAAAAGGCGTACGACAAATGTATTCAATAATACTGAGACGACGGTCATTGAGGAATTGCTTGTCAAACGATGTATTAAACGTGATATAGTAATCAGTGATTAGTGAGTAAACGATTCCTATGATAACTAATCATACTATGGATAATAAAAATAACCTAAACTCACCGTCACGTGCATTTTATTGCTTTAATGTTTTTCACAGGAATCAATGGCGATAATCGAATTAATAGTGTGTTATTAAAAATATGTCACTTTAATTGATATTAATACTTTTAATTTTATTTACAACTGTTAAAGAATGAATTAGTATACAAATTTAAAACGATTTGTTTATCTGTTATACATTTAAATACTATTGTATGGAAGACGTGAGTACATGGCTTTATTTTCATATTATAGTATCAACATAGTCATATACGAAATTACAAAATTGAATAAACATCATATTATTAGTTCGATTATTTTGTATTACCTTTCAAATCGAACGAGTACGAAATACGATTCGGGAACATGGTTCTGGTACACCCCAAAAACTCGTAACCGTTTACTCTGGTTGGTTCAGCAGACCACCAATCGGCGTAATCGTTGTTCGTCGTCGCCACAACCACTGCGGTGTTCGATCCTCTCAAAGAAGTCGGATTCACACCTGTCGAGTTAATATTAATATAGTCCAAGTTTTGTATTTTTTAGAAACGAGTTAAACGGGTTAAACGGATTATTATGGTTAATACTTAATAGTAATATAGGTAATATATATTTTCTTACCGGCATCGACAAACGCTTCGTATGTACTCTCCAGCATAGCACGGATTTGTGGGTCCAGCCTTTCAGCCAGTTTTGGATGCACATTGAAAAATGTTGAATCGAATTTCTCCAAATTACTGAGGACTCCGATCTTGGTTACTGCTCCACAAATACCTGTACAAAAAATATTTTAGTAATATTATTTCTTTTACATAATATTAACGATTTCATTGTTTTATCATAATAATAATATAAATAAAATCGCTCAGATAAATTAAACTATACAATTTAAAAGCAATTAGTATTTGAGGACTTGATTTATACATTTTAATAAACCTGTTAAAAACAAATTAAAATTAAGAATTAAGTATAAAATAATATTGCCATTTAACCTTTATATACTACTTCAGCCTTTATAAGTAAATTATTAAGTGGTATAATAAAATATAAGTTATAAATAAGTTGTATAAACATTCATATTGTATTGAACTCAAAGAATGACTATTGGAAACTAATATTGAGGAATTATAATTACCTACGTCGAATCTACGTTTTTCAATGAATAATAATATATAGTTAATAAATAGTAAATATTAAAAAAATAATAATAAAAATAAGGACAACGCGGGTGTGTATTACAAACCTACACCATAGAAAATATTCACAATAATCCATTTTACTCTGTTATTTATTTAATTAGAGTGTACCTCATATACAAATATTCAAAATGAAATTTCCTTTTTAATTTTATTAGGTTGTGGTTAATACTGAAATAGTCGCAAATACACATTTTTTTGGGGGGGAGGGCTTAATATACCAAACAAGAAATTTTGAGATTCATTATTTCCATCTGGAAGGGCTATGGAGTTCAATAGCGTGCCCAGAGGGGAGTTAGTGGTTATGCTCTCCTCATTGTCCCATAAATCCCCTTATTTGTGTCTTTGGTATTCTAGCACAACAATTCATTTAAATGTATTATTATTTATTACCAGGATTGGGACTTTTCAGCATTTTACAAAATGCTTAAGAGATATCAGAGTAAGCTTAAAACTTGTTTTATAATTCAGAGAATTTAAATAAAAATGTTACCTTGCATATTTGAAGATTGTTTAAATCTTATAGTGCTCTTTCTGGATTTCTTGAAATATTTTTGCATTTTGAGCCATTTTTTAATAAAAATTGTTAATATTATTGTGTTAGGAAAGAATATTTTAATAAACGTGTTTTTGATTATTGTTCAATTTTTATATAAATATAGATTAAGAGGATGTTACATATGCATTTGATGTTCTCGTCTTATAAACGTACGTCACCAAATTTTCGTTCACTAGTTTCAATAGTGTGCTGTTAGTTTTAATTTTAGAGTGAATTGACCTGTTATGAAACTTTTAGGCAAGAACATTATTTGTTCATTATCTGCAAAAATTATAAATGCTCTTAACTCGTTAAAAATTAAAATATCGAATAAAACCCAACGCGACGCTTATCACTTAAGCACATACAGGGGGGTGATCATGGGAGGGATGAGGGTGTCATATCCCCCCATGAACTTTTTTTTTTATGCGTAATTTATAGTTCTTCAATAATTTCGGTTTACTCAAAAAAAAATGTAGTGTTTGTATCTGTTCATCCCCCCTCCCATATAAAAAACCTGAGCATGCCACTGAACACATATAATTGTATTATCTAAAAAAATTGACAATAGGTCAATTCAATCTATAACAAAACTAACTGCACATCACTATTGAAACTAGTGAACGATAATTTGCTATGTCATACTTGTGTAAAGTGATTTAAGACGGATATAACGAATGCATGGGTATAGAGTCCATCATAAGTAAAATAGACTGACTACACGGATGCGCTGACGTATAATTTTGTATTAGATAATTCGGTTTTAATTTTAATTTGTCATTTACGGCTGTGATTATCATCGAATTAGTGTTTAAATTCTGGGACGTTCTTAGGGGGGGGGGGGCATGCAGGGCTCATACCCAGGGTTCGCACTTGGAAGTCAAACATTTTAACCATGAATTGCAGAAAAAGTAATGTTATATGATATATTATAGTATATTGTGTGATAAGGGAGGAAATTGTCTTCCCACACGAGCCACACATACTATTTTTTGTCATGCTTCTACGATAATCGATCACAGCTAAGGTAATGTAGGGATCTATGTATATGTAACAACCAGACACGAAAACAATATTCCATGAAAGAAACTATTTGGTTTTATTTATTTTAAACGTTATGCATGGAGGTTATAATATTAATATAAGATGTAACCAAAAGTTTATGTTTTTATGACCATGGTATATAGATTTCAGTATATATAATAATTATTACATTAAATAAATAAGAATAAAAAATGTAATTACTAATCGCTATTGATCACGGCAAAGGTAATTCACTATGTATCTATGCAACAACCAGATTATTTTAAAATTTAAAATATTCGTAAACAGCTCAAAACAAGTCGAAATATTTTGAAAATGTTACCAATTATAGAAAATGATAAAATAAACCATTAAGTATCTACGGTTATTCGTTTTTGAATTGCAGCCAAACTTTTTAGCTATATATTAAATTTTCAAATCTTAAATATAAAAAAAAAAATATTTTTATGAATTTACAACTCAAAATAATATGTTCTTGTCGATGTTTTGTCAAAATTATAACTCCAGACGCTCATAAAAAACAATTGTGGATTACGCTCAACTTTTTTTTTAATTTCCACTAACAAAAACTAACTAACAATTTCAAGGTTTTCGACCATGCAAACATTTTTTTATCGATATTAATAGAAAAATAAAATAATCATAATTAAAAATGTCATATGTCTATTAATTGCTCAACATGAGTCAAATAATTTTAAAATTGTTTCTTTAATGTACTAATATAAACGTTCAGTGAAAATTTCATGTAACTACATTCTATGGTATTTTTTCAGAGTTAAACCAAAAACATAAATCGATTTGGTCGAAAACTGATTTTACGTAATAATTCCCGTTTTCCTTATTTTTTCCCCTTTTGAGGAACTTGTGAAACTAGCTACAGGAAATTTAAACCTCCCCATTGCACCAATTCAGATACTGAAGTTGAAAATCAAATCATTATTTCGACTACCTTCATATCGTGTATGATTACAAATACAAATAAACACACACACACATTATTGCAAAAATCATTACATTCATCACTCCCCTGAGAATCTAAAATTATAATTTTAATAAAAAGTTTTATTGATATAAGTATTTAGGTAGAAGGCGATAATAAAAAATCGAAATTGAAATAGAAAAAAATATTTTCGTTTTCATGCCCAGGTCATTATAATAATATAGTAATAATATAGTACTCTAAATCGGAATTGGATACCGATTTTGAATACCTGTTAAAACCATTAAAAACCGAAATCGATATAGAAACTGAAAGAAAAATCGAAAAAAATCAATACCGGCAATCAAAACCGAAATATTACGAAAATAAAAAACCTATATTCAAAACCAAAAATGAAATGGGGGGGGAAAAAATACCGATAATCAAAACCGTAATCGAAATCGGAAAAAATATTTTCTGTTTCAAGCCCTGAACTAAAGTTTATTTATCTAATAGTCTGGTGTGCCACCTACCTACTAGTGTGTCAAAAAGGTGAACATTACGATTTGATTTTTTTTCAATTCTTGGTCTAAATTAAAAACCTGTAAGTACCTATACCTAATATTATGTATAATATTATAAAGGAAGTTTAAATAATTAAATACATATATTTATTCTTCATATAATGTAATACTTTGTTGTACATACTGACTGTACGTTTACCCCCTCGGTGTGTTATTACCTACTTATTTATTTAAATAGTTACTATTTTTAATAATAATTCATGTAACAAAAGCAGAATAAATATTAATTACTTGCTATCGAATTTGCGATAGATTATAATATAATAACTTACCATCTGGCCACCTGCTTTGTTCTTTGTCAAGTATGTCCGTGCCGTCGAACAGTTTTTCTTTGAACTCATCGAATGTCTCGCAATTCGGGAAGCGGCCAGAGATACCGGAAATCACGATATCATCGTCTTTGTAGTACTTCTGGCATTCTGCGTTCGGCGCCATCATTCGCGTTCGTGCAGGGAAGACAACGGAAATAATCGAATGTTGACAATGTCCCGGTAATGAACCACGTACGACTTACGATTGGATGTTGTATTGGTTGGTAAGTCGATGTGTCGCGATATTATATACTATTATTGCTATCACACAGTGACACGCCACTAGAAATCGAAATAACCTAAGGTGATGCTTTTAAATACTGCATGAGAGACGGTTGAAGAACATATTATTTTGTTATTCAATACGTTGCATTTTTTTTATCGATTTATTTATAATTTTTATTTTTTTTTTCGTTACCTAAATGACAACCACTGATAAACTGTGATAACGACAACGTATATAGTGTCATCATCTACAAAACTATAATGCGGTGTTTAGTGTTACGCGTTATATGACCACTGTAGATTAAAAACGATTATATTATATAGGTACGATGTACCTATAACCTATATTATAATAATATGTCCTATAACAAATAATATTAATATTTTATTCTTAAAATGTTAAAATGTTGTACGGAATTAGGAAATGGTCAGGTATGCGTCTCATGGTGTATACCACAGTAATATTTTGACGTTTTTTAACGAAATATTTTTCAATGCCAGTTAATACGTATACGATATATAGCTATATATGCGGATTTTATTAAATGGTTGTCCTTATATAAATAATTTAATTTTTAATGTTAAACAACTAACTCTGTGTAGATGTATTGAAAATAATAGTAGGTACAATGCACCTGGTACATGCCAAAATTATTAATAATTATGTTTTTAGACCACATATTTTATTTTATGAATTATTCTAAATTATTCAAATTGGTTTATATAAAATACCTATATGTATTTCAATACTAATTCTTGTTAAAAGAAAATCTTCAACTACAGAAACAGAACTATATCTTTAAAAAAAATGTTATCGATGTACCCAGCCACTCCCTTTTCCAAAGGTGGGCAGGTTAATGAAAATAATTAACTCTGGCAAGTTAAGTTAAGTTAATTAAATTAAATTGCCTTCAGTTTAGTTAAAAGTTAAGTTAAGTTGAGATTAGTGAACTCAGTAAAAAAAAGTTTTTTCAATTTACAATAATTTTAAGTTATAAACTCCCCTAGTATTTTCATTTACACAAACATTTATTAAACGTTTAACACTGTAAACAATTTGATTATTATAATATATAATTAGAAAAAAAATTACCAAAATCGAAAAAGAGTCATCGAATCAGTATTATCTATAGTTGGTTCCGCAGGAGAAAGAAAATTAACTTAACTGCATGATAATGATAATTAACTATAAAATGTTAAATTACAATAATAACAATTTTAACTGAATAAGTTAATAAGTTAAACACAAAAATAATTAACTAGTTAAAAAAGTTAAAACGTTAAAAAAAATAAGTTTTTAACCAGTTAAGGCCCACCTTTGCCATTTTCTTGTGTCATTATTTTGTATAAATGTACTATATAGGTACGTCACTTATCCGTTCAAATCTTGAATATGCTCCTATAATTTGGGAAAACAACAGCATTGGACATAGTGATCAACTTGAAAAAATACAAACAAAGTCCTTCGGTTCATATGCATTAAATCTAATATACCAAGAACCCCCCACTCAGGATACGAACATATTTTAAATATTTTACACTTAGAGTCATTAAAAACACGTAGAATTAATAATTATATCTAGCAACTTTCATTTTAAGTTATTAAGCAACGAGATTTATGATGCATTTTTACTTAACCAAATAAATTTCAAAACCAATATACTCATAACTTACCCAATAATAATTTATTTTATATACCACATTTCTCTCAGAATTATGTGTTAAATATTTTGATGACTTGCGGAAATAATTAAATTTTTAATACACTATTTAAGTAATGTAATCTATGATTGTTATTTAATTTTCTATAATATTATTCTGTATCACACTCCACTCTGTCTCCCACTTTTCAGGTTTTATATTATATTTGTAATCATTAATCATTATTATTATTGTATTATTATATTCCTTGTATTAATTGTACTACTTTATCGAATTATTCAAACATTTATTATTTGGACATTGTCCATATAAATAAATAAATAAATAAAAAAAAAAACTTGGAATTTGGCTCGATTGGTCCCAAAACTCTTTCGTTGTCAGTCACTCCGTCGAATACTACAAAATAATCGTTTGACTAATTCGAGTCCTTAGCTCCACCTCAAAATCACAACATGATACACTTGGAATTTCAAAACTTTTTCTCTGCTGATATTTTGTATAAAATTTACTAACACTTAATATTTTAAAAACATCCAACGTTTTTTGTACCTACGGACATAATGGTAAAATATCTCCTGCAGTATCCCCCCCACCACCAGACGAGCAATTTAGAAACGTAACTGCCATGAGGATATGCCAATCGCTTGTACCTCGTTTGTACCACTTTGTACCATAAGTCTCATCGTTTTGTCAAATTCAATACTATGTAGACGAAAGGAAAAAAAAATGTGGTGCGGATGTTATAAAAGATGATAAAAAAATTTGAAAAATTTTATGAGTTATTTTTTGATTCTGGTTGGACTGATAAATGTATTGATTTTACAATAAAGTATGTTTTTTCTGTGTGAGTCTATATGTAGACCAGGGATTCCCGAAAGGTGGTCCGCGGAACCCTGGGGTTCCGTGGAAGGGCCTCAAGGGTTCCGCGTACCGTCCAAAAATTAAACAAAACTTTCATAAAAAAGAATCACAACCGCGCCGCCGTTGTTCACACATTCGTTATGTGTTTCGTTTCATGCTTCTACTAGTATTTCTAATTGCACAATTACACCAAAAACAAGTACAGAAATAGACTTGATGCAGCTCCAGATCTTCGCATTCAATTATCAGATATAAAGCCTAATTTTAGTGATATTTTAAGAAAATATGTGAAAAAATTTCATTCTTCTCATTAAAATATTAAATTGATAAAAACAGGCACTTAGTTACATTGTATTTCTTTGTACAGTAAATGTTTTTTAATACATAAAATAATTGTTTTTCATTTATATTTGTTCTTTCTTTTCATATCAAACATAAAACTATAAAACTACTAGGTGACTAGGTGATAACTTTATGTTATCAAACAAGGGTTCCACATAAAAATGTATAATCGATTAGGTCTAATGTACGCTACGATATGTAGTCGAAATAATAGTTAGTAATATATTAATATTATTAATACGGACATACGGTAGCCGGTAAGTTGAATTAATATTATAAAATTGCAAAAATATAACTATAAATTCGTTGTTTGTGGTTATTTAGCACCTATGTCGGGCTATGTAATTTCGTCCAAATTTTAACTAAAATAACTATAAAAAAAACTGTGTTTATGTATACATTTAGATTTTTCGGTTACAGAATTAACTACTTACGTGCTACTTTGTTTTAAATTTTCAATCCTTAGCTATAAAGTTAACCATTGTATACATTATTAACTACAAAATAATTCTTAAATTTTAAATTTGATACATTTTGTCAAAACTCAACCTTAAATGATTATAAAAAAATTGTGTCTAAGTATTTTTAATATATTTCAACTTCTATTGTAACAACACATCAGGAGCCTTCTATTACATTTTCACGCTTTTTTACACAACAAATTACATTTAATTGACATCTATAGAAAAAAAATTAACTAACTAAAAAAATTTTAAATATCCGTAAAGAACTCGAAACGAGTTAAAATATTTTGAAAAACGTTATCAAATATAGGTAGAAAATGATAAAATAGACATATGGTTAAAATGTCAAGTGACTACAGTTAATCGTTTTTGAATTACAACAAAATGAGAAAATCGCTACATGAGAAATCGAGTATAATAATCCAATTTTGTAAAAATATGAATTTCAAACGCTCATAAAAATTTTATTTGGCTTTCAGGTAAAGATTTTTTTATGAAGATAGAAGAAATTATGATTAATCTGGTATTAAATTTTCAAATCTTAGATTTAAAAAGAATAATTTTTATGAATTTCTAACTCAAAATAATATGCACATTTTCGTTATTTCTACGTATTTTATCAAATTCAAACTTTAAATACTTATAACATAAAATTGTGAACATGCATTTCTAATATTTTTTAACTGTCGTTGTAACAATATATACAATTTTATTAACATGACATTTTACATTCTATATTATTACTGAGTACCAGAAGCTTTTAAAAATATTACTATATTTTATACATATAACGACATTTTTAGATGCAATTTTTTTTGGTAAAAATTAATTTTACCTACTGTAGTAGGTACTAATGCCTAATAGTAAAATAATTTACTTCAATCACTTAAATC